AGAAATACATACATAACAGTTTTAACAATTTTAGATTTTCGAAAGTAGAAAAAACTTTATAACGTGATACAGATCTATTTATATAAGTTATATCAAAATAAAAGTATTCAATAAATCTCACGATATAGCAAAAACGAAACGTGATGAATGATATTCTAAACTTTGGTCTATGTGACGTAATCGTTTACGAGATCAAGCCCTCTAGTCAAGTCACAGAACAGTATTCTAAAGCACAGCATCGTGAGATACTGTTTTTATTTGTTTATTAATTAGCAACGATCTTGAGATGCTGATATCGTAATGACCGCGTATCAAATGGTTACGCACTTGAGTTCGTCGTTGACTAACATTTGTTTATACGGGCCTTAGAGAGAGTAATGTTATTTTAGAAATAGAATATACTGGCGACTAAACGGAGCAACGATAGGGCTCAGTATGAAGCACATATATATTTATCTATGCTATGAAGGAGAGCGAATCCCTCCCCTGCCTGCGACGTATGCGGTAGTACCGGTCGCCTTCGCTAGCGTACCGGTACCCCGTGTTTAGGAATTTCGGATTAGGAGTATCCCGTACACGGAATCAGTTGCATGCTTTTGGTGTTCACCCAGCAACGTAATATTACTCGATATTATTTTGAAATATTGGGAAAGATTGTATGACGCTTTAATTAAATTTTAATTCTAATAACCATGTGATTGCTTTCATCACGATTTTTAATTGAATCACATGTAAGAATGAGAATTCATTATATCATTAAATTCTACAAAAGACAATTAAAAAACCTCATAATAGATGTCGTAAATATTTGTCGGTTGCACATCTGTAACGAGGCTGTTGAATAAACAGAACTCAACGAATAATTTTAAACTGTTTTATTTATTCTGTTCAACCCCCTATCAAATATTTTAAGCGTAATACAGGTAAAATATAGTGAAATTAGATAGGTATCTATCAGCACATGCCTTTGTTTCCACCGCAGCGAATCAGGTGAAACTGCAGAAGTTGTATCTTTTATAGAAAAATAAATTATTATGAGGAATACTGATAAACTATAATGTTATGAAATTTTTATTTAAGGAAATGTTTTTGTGAAGACCCTTGCATATTTTTGCGATTTGACGTCGATACAACCTTGTAGGAGAACAGCATATTAATTGATTATTTAAGTACGTTATTACTCTACAAGTATATTACTCTACTCTTGGGAGTAAAAGTAGGGTTCATCCGTTACTAAATATCTTATTATATTAATTATTATTTTTGTGAAGAGTTGTATGTACATTGATAGAGTAGACATATTAAAGTTTTGTAGTTATTATTATCTATATTATATATTACAATCAGCGCGAAATTCATGATTCACTCGACTACCAGCAAGCTATACTCCAGGGACGGTACACTTAGACCCCCACTCCAGCCTGCAAAATAATGATATTTGTTATAAAAAATATACTAGCCGACGTATTTTTAATAGCACATTACGATTATACTTGTATTTGTAATTGCACACTCGCCAATTTTTTATAAAAAATCAAAAAGTAAATTATGGTTTTTACTAGTACTGCAATATCGATATCTCCGTAAATAAAGTTTTTTTTTAATTGCACAGAGTGCCAATAAATTGCACATATCTCGATTGTAATTGCACAATACCGTATTGTTATTGCACATACTTATTTAGTTACAAAAATTAATAATTATGTAAAACTGTTTAATATCATAGTAAATAATCTCTTATTGAAATTTGTTTTATTTTAATTAATTTATTTTTATTAGGGCAGATAACAAATAAAATAGGTTAGGTTCATCTTGTGTCAAAGAATCGAATTGATTGACCCCGACTCCACCTGGTACGAGTCTGTCCTACCCCTAGAGTGGTTATATAGAGCCGGAGGCGCGTAGGGGGAGCAGCCTCCGCCTGCTGTAACAAATCGTAGGCATCGGACGATCCGGAGCGGCTGAGGCTAGTCGCCGAAGGCGACCAACAAGCCGAAGCTGCGGAGGCGAGGAGGGATGCCTGCGATTTGTTACGCAAAGGCGTAGAGGCTGCTCTCCCCGCAGCGTCAGAGACGTTGCAGTCTCAAAATTTGTAATTAATTATGTTCTTTTATTCAGCGCTGTTATAGGCAACCCAAAAAAATACCTCAAATAAACCCCCCACCCCCAAAAGAGCAACATTCAAATTTTCCCGCCACAAAAAATTGCAAGGGCTGACTATAGATGGAGCTAGTGGGTGTATATTAGATTTATTTTATTTTGTATGAAGTTGGTGTTCATCTCCGCTAGGAGTAATAGTGTTCTGTGGTCCATGGCATCTCCACCATAGAGAACCTGAACAATGTCTCTTGTAGAATTTCTAACTGTCGAATCGTAGTGCAGGCAAAGGTCTTCCAAACTCTGCACTAACTTTCTCTGCATGTATCCAGTTTCAGCTGTTTTCACCTCAGTATCCACAGAAATAACAAAAAATAATACATACTGCTTTTCATTTCCTTAAAATCTGGAAATGGATAGAAACGTGATGTGTTGTGGTTAAAAAGCAGAACGACTTATGGCCCGTTTTCATTGATGGTATGCACTATGCCCGTCGTCTGCTGCGTATAGCGCATATTGGCGGCGACCGTCAGTTTTACTTAATTATTAATTTTTGTAACTAAATAAGTATGTGCAATAACAATACGGTATTGTGCAATTACAATCGAGATATGTGCAATTTAATGGCACTCTGTGCAATTAGAAAAAAACTTTATTTACGGAGATATCGATATTGCAGTACTAGTAAAAACCATAACTTACTTTTTGATTTTTTATAAAAAATTGGAGTGTGCAATTACAAATACAAATATAATCGTAATGTGCTATTAAAAATACGTCGACTAGTATTTTTTTAATTACAAATATCATTATTTTGCAGGCTGGGGTGGGGGAGGTGGTACACTTCTATACTATAGGTAGAGGTCCAATAATTTGCAAAGACACTACTGCCATCTTATACGATACCCGCATAAACTTTTGAACATTAAATTCTAAAAGATGCGCTAGATGGCGATTACACCAATTCTGGTTATTGGGTATGGAATTTAATGGAATTCTCTAAAGTTGTAACATAAATATAAAGGATTAATAATTATACGGACATGCAAAAACCTAATTTAAAATATATTGAATAAAAATATCACTTGGATCGAGGTGGAAAAGAGGGTATATCGAGAGACCCCCACTTGTTTGTGCAGTATAAAGTTCACTGTAGGTGCCGTGCGCGAGAGATTCCGCTTCAGTCATTCAACGAGTGTGGTCATTCTACCAGTGCTAAGATAGTGTCGTGGTTTTGTTCGTGTTTGTAATTCTTCTAGTGCAGGCAAGGAGGATTGGTGTTGCTGAGAGGCTGCCCTGTGTTACATTGAGTTAAGTAGTGTTGCTGTTGGTTTACATATTTTGGTGTTATCATGTAATTACGTACCTCACGTTACACTGGTCTGTGATTGTGGCGGAGACGTGTTAGGGTGTGGTCGAACTGTGATTTCACTATACTGAAAGTATAGTGCGTTACGTTGTCTTATTACTGATAATGATTAAACTGAGTAAGTAAAAGAGCAAGTTGAACATCCGCTCTCACAATTTTATTTTTTTAACAATTAATGCTATCCTGATGTATTTCCGAGACCAAAAGCGGGATCCTCTGTTGTAATCTCCAACATATATTTTTATTTTAACATTTTTTTAAAAATTTCTCAGAAATTGATTCATATCAAATATATTTGGACTGGATTTTGTTAATAATGTTGTATATTTCTGCGAAAAGTTACACGGTAATTTACACCATAGACTTGGAATATATACGCCAGTATATTCTAAGTCTATGATTTATGGATATCGATTTATATTGATGGAACTATATTTTAAACAGTATTGATATATATCGCGTGATAAATATCGATATATCGTCATCATTTGCATGATGTAAAGATAAGGCCCAAAATTTTATTTACTGACGGTTGAACGACGAAAAAAACGATACAACATGTTATAATATATCGATATTCATACGAATTCGATACTCTAAAATAAATATCGATATATCGCGATTTAAAATATCGATCATATATTTCGATACTTTTATTAAAAAATATTGATACATTGATATTTTTTGCCCAAGCCTATTATATTTAATCTACACTCTACAGTAATATTATCTAGAAACAGGAGTTTTGGCGGGAACTTGACCGGCCGCGGTTTGCTGCTCCTGTATTATATATATAGTTTAAATAATAGTTTGAAGTGGATTTTAATATAAAAGTGCTGCGATTCAATGTATTAACCGTGAACTATGAAGGATAACTATACATTTGGAAAATTATAATAAACCGAATAAAAATACTCAAGACTTAGCCTAAAGGCCTAGATACCAGGCCATAAATTCCAAAAAAAAATATCTAGTAACACCGTATTTTTACCCTTGCAACACGGTAACTCTTGATTTACATAATATGGGAGTTTTGGCGGGAAATTGACCGGCGGCGGTTTGCTGCTCCTGTATTATTGTTTAAATAATGGTTTGAAGTGGACTTTGATATGTAAAAGTGTTGCGATTTTGTGTATTAAGTGTCTACGCATGTGAACTATTAGTGGAAACAGTGAAACAAGTGCTCTGATGGTGATGGATTCTCAAGATAAGCTGTTTGTTTGCATAGGCACCTTTAGATACCATCGCCAACTATCAGCTGTCTGCTGGATCAAGTTGCCGCCAAAATCTCCCAAGAACTGCACAATGTGACGCATCAACATATTGTGAAGCAGTATACTATGAAGGAGTGGGGAAATTACAATAAACCGAATAAAAATACTTAAGACTTGGCCTAAAGGTCTAGATACCAGACCATAAACTCCAAAAAAAAATTTACATAATATGGATTATGGAGACACTGTCACAGTGACAGTGTCACTGTCCGTCACAGAGTACATTATATTGCTGTCCGTGGTTAAAATTATTTGTGGTTATGGCGGAAAAATTATATTTTCGCTTAGATTCTTTAAAAAATATTTTCTTAGCGTATAGCAAAAGAAAGTCAATTAGATATGGATTGCCATTTATTTTATTCGTTGTTGGTGGGTCATTTGGCCTCAGAGAATGGACGCAAATTAGGTAATTGACATAATTTTGTACTTTTTTATTTACTGTTTGTTTTATTAAGAATTTTGCAAGAAAAAGATGACTGTTTATTTAATAAACATATATATTCATTAAAGAGTAACCAATAGTTAACTGGTTTTATTCAACGTAAAAGATTACATATTTTATAAAAACAGAATAGAGAATTGACAAATAATATGATGTTAAGGTGACAGTTTATTAGTTTATAGTTTTAATGAATAAAGATGTAATTTATAATAAAAAGGTAAGAGTATACAACAATCACCCGCCTTGAAGCTCCAACATAATCGCGTAAATATGAGGTAAGCCCTCTGTCGGGAATGGCAGTACGAACTAAAGTTCTGTACCATTATCATTTTGAACATTTTCGGTTTGTTCAGATTATGCAGGTACTACTGGTTCATTGCATGTATTCATATAAGGACGGAATATATTTCCATTAACTTGGTCATATTCATTTTTCTCTTCACTAATCTAAACCATAGAGATACTACACAAGTGGTTTCAATAGCATCCATAACTTCAGTATCGACAGTGTTTACAGTTGCAAACACTAGCGAAATTCTCTTTCGGGTTGGGTTTAAAAGTAAGTCGCCTGAATTTGAGGATTCTGTCACTGTGATGCACCCTCATGCGATAGTTGCTGCTGGAGCAGCGTCCAAGTATTTTTAATTATTTTTTTAAAATATTGGCAAATCACTAACTAAACGTGAAATGGAACGTATATTTAACTAAATTCTAACATTTTTGATGTTGCATCTGATAGTCATCTCAAAATGTTTAAAATGAATCTGCAATTCTGAGGATCTGCGATTAGAGGTGTGCCCTGAAAACATACAATCTGCTGAGGTTTTCGTGCCCTTAATTAAAAAACGTAGAGATAGGCACTACAGATTTTGGACAGTATATGACTGCCTAGAGGTACATCGGTACACCCACAAAAAGTGAAGCACTCGAACCCTTACAATCCATTCATGGCTCCAGATGGGACTCGTACACAAAGAATAGAGCCACAATAGAAAGTCGTGAAACGTTTTTCTAAAAAAGACAATTATAAACATCCAGAAATTTTTTATGATTTTTTTATTAGTGGAGTATTTGTGGCGGTGAAACACTGCAAAATTTTGTGAAGATCCTTTTTTAGAAATGGTGGCAGCTATAAATTATGTTTATAAATTAAAGTAATTATGAAGTTATTATTTTGGTGTTTTATTGAGTGCAAGAGCAAGCAAAGGGAGCTTGGGACTTGGGACACCCTGACTCTGACAGGTTAGGTTAGAAGGGGATGGTGGGGTCGAGTGAGCAAGGGAATAGACCCCGCCATCCCCTTTGTGGTTATTTTTTTTAAACCACTCAGAAGTAGGAGTTCTGAGTGGTTTGCTATATATCAAGTGCTATGCAATCAAGCAATTAAATAGCAGCTATATAAGAAGAACAGTCACACATAAGAGATGAGAATGTCACTCTTTATGTGTGACTGTTGATATAAACACAATATTACTGACTAGTTAGCAATCACTTTGACAGGAGCATCTCCATTACACTTTTGGTTATGAAACTCTATCATCATCAGCCTGCTGCTAGACATAGGCCTCTTCCAAGGCGCACCACTTAGCCCGATCTCAGGTTTCACCTATGCAATTGCTGCCAGCAGCCTTGTGCAGATTGTCGTTCCATCTAGCCAGGGGGCGTCTATGACATCCCTGAATGCTATGTTTCATACATTTTATTTGTTTTCCCAGATATCAATTTTCACAAGTAAAAGGTGTGAGCAAAGAAGAAGCTGAGAAGATGGGCCTGCACAAAACTAAAGAAGTGACATTAGAAAAAGCATTTGATGACATACAAAAATTGGATATAGATAATTGGGAGAATAAAAGAGGACCTCGGCCATGGGAAATGCAAAATGAGCAAAGAAAATAATGTTATAAGCCAAAGCTTAGTGACAAGGTTTATAAGTAAATAGTTATTGTAAATAAATGTATATATAGTAATGTTTTGGGCATAATTTTTTTATTCAGGTGTTGTGCTGTCTTTTACTGATGCAATTTGATACTTCTATGTAAAAAACAACTTTTCCTAAAAAGTGAAGACAAGTGGTCTAAGACAGGGGTCGGCAACCTGCGGCTCGCGAGCCACATGCGGCTCTTTGGATGTGAAGCTGTGACTCTTTAGTTTCATACGCAAATATTACTTTTTTTTTATAGAAATAGGGTGACAAATGAGCACACAGTCCACCCGATGGTAAGTGGTTGCTGTGGCCCATAGACATCTACATTTATCAAAATGCAGATGCGTTGTCAGCCTTGAGGACTAAGATGAAATGCCTCTTTTCCAGTAAAAAGGGTCTCAGGTTCTCTACACTCACCATACGAAACAGCAGCATTAAGCTGCTATTTTACGCTGGTATTCTGTGAGAGTGTGGTCCTTCCCCGGTCGAGCCGACCCATTCGTGCTACAACTACACTACTAATATAGCTGCAGCATGGCTCTACCACGTATAAATATACTTATTTTATAAAAAAAAACATTTAAAAATCGATCCACACTGAGCCATTTGGAGTTGATACAGGATCTCTAGAAAAGCAATAGATCGATTTAAAAAGTAAAGCTTTGTGTAATTGAAAATTTACAGAGTTGAAAAGCAAGTTGAAAAAGTTGGATGTCCAGAAATGTATGTACGTAACGTAACAAAAATGAACAGCTTTAAAAGAAATGCCGTGAGTTGAGGCACTTATATTCGACGCATGGAATAGTCTTCCAGATTGCTACAGTGAGGTGAAGAAGTTGGCATTTGGAGTGCTAAATATCTTCGGATCGACATATTCGTGCAAGCAAGCATCCTCTTGCATGAATATAATTGAAAGTAAAGTAAGAAGCCAACTAACAAATGAAATAAACAAGTTATGAGCCAAATTTATTCAAACTTTCTAAAACCACGCAAAGCCAACGCTCCCAAAGAATTTGTTTGCTTAAATGTATGTTATTGAAATACAAGTTAGTGTTTACTAATTTATTGTGAAAAACACTATTTATGTATGAATAAATTTATATTTTTCTTTTGAATAAATAGCTTAGTTTTTTTTATCGGAAAACTTTATTTATGCAAGTACTATTTATGGATGGCAAGAAAAAAATTGTGGCTCTTAAAAAACCTTGAAATTTTGTAAATTGTAATTTTTGACTCTTCCAACTCAAAAGGTTGCCGACCCCTGGTCTAAGATATAGTGTATAGAAGAATTAAAGTAAAGCTTCCATTTTGGAATGAGTCTTCTTCCTTAGTTCTCTTATCTTCGATCGATACTTCTCTCCTATCCGGGGTACAAATTATAACACTTTTGTACCTCTGGTTAGAGTTTGTGTATAAGTCAGATAGGACATCTGTTCTCACTGAACTCTCTGAACTTACTGGTGATCCTTGGTGATTTTAACAGCCACTATGCTGAATGGCTTGGTTCTCGTTTAGCCGATCATGCGGGAAGATCTGTTTATGACTTTGCCTTGGCATATGGTCCGACACAAATGGTTACTTCACCTACGTGGATTCTAAATATGGAGGATCGTGCACCTTCCCTGTAGGACCTTCTGCTGACCTCTATCCGGACGAATATCAGGTCTCTGTCGATCCCCCTCTTGGCTCATTGGCTCATTGCCTGATCCAGATTATGGTGCTCATGAGGTTGAGGATCACCAACTGAAAAGTGACCGCCAGTACGATTTCCGTACGGGTTGTACAGCTGGTGATCTTCTGGCTTATCTGACTCATAAATCTGCAGAGGCAGACAGGAGACGCTAGCCGTTAGTTTGAACATAGCGACCCTTCGATCGGGTTTGGTACAAAGCGCTTCATTCGAATCTCCCTTTCTATGGACTTCCCGAGAATTTGTGCAACTGGATCAGCGGTTTTCTTGCAGATCAGAGCAATAAAGTCGTAGTAAAAGGTGCATGCGCCATTTACAAGCCTATTTATTCTGGTGTTCCATAAGGCTACGTTGTTTATCTGCTTATAAATAATATATTGTAAATCAGTAACGTGCATTGGTGATGCTTTATACACCGGCTGTTCCTATCGGGAAAACGTCGCCGCGTACCGGAACAAACTTGTATCTGAAGTCGAGTTTTTGCCGGATAAGGTCTTGGATTGGTACAACTAAATTTAATTAAGTTCAATGCCCAGAAGACACAAGATTGCGCGTTTATCACTAAAAGGAACATCTTTGTCGTAACTCCTCAATTTCAGGATACTCCCCCCTCAGCCAGTATCGGAATATTTGGCGTTGATATATCTGTAGCCGGTGGAAGGAAAAGGAGAGATCTCCCGCCGGGTAAGGTGTTCTGCCCGGGAGCGGCCAACGCTCCGCGTGGTAGTTCGGAGCTATTCTAAGTATATATACTGATTTAATTTCGGAACTTTGTCAGCGCGATTTAGGCTTCAATGTGTTCCGCTTGTGGCGCGACGACAGCGCTGTCACATATCGAATAACGTGCAATTACGTGGTCACTTGGAAGGGAACGCTGAATTGGCCTCTAAAAAGCTTAGCGTGCTCAGCAGAGCGGGGCAGTATTTTATGCCGACACACTGCTTGCAACTTTACAAGGGGCAGGTTCGGCCTAACATGGAATACTGTTCTCATCCCTGAGCCGGGACTCCCTACTCCCTAGTACCAGCTCCTTTCACTTGACCGTATCCAGCGCAGAGAGGCTCGAATCGTCGACGACCGACGAATACGAAAGACGAGACGAAGAGATGTTGCATCCCTTTGCATGTTTTATCGCATTTACCACGAGGAGTGTTCAGAGGAATTGTTCGGATTAATTTTAGCCACAAAATTTCATCAACGTATTTCACAAATCCACATGATCGGGATGCTAGGCTGTCTACGACTTAGGGAGCTTCAAGAAACGAGCTTACTCTTTTTTAAAAAGCCGGCAACGCGCCTGCTATTCCCCTGGTGTTGAATTTGTTAATAGGCGCATGTCGACACTTGCCGTCAGGTGACCCGCATGCTTGTTTGTCCAATTCTTATATATAAAAAAGACAATAAAACGAAGTAGACAATTATCTTTAACAATGTTATATTTATTTTCTGGAAGTGGGAGAAATTTTTGTGATTTCAGTTCGAGCCGTTCACGGTCAGGGGCCAAAAAGTTAAAACTAGAAAATTCTTTATACAACATTCGTTATACAACTAGGATAGTACATAATTTTTCGAACGTTGTTCTTGGAGACCGAGGGGCCCCTTTAGCTTGTGGGCCCCGGGGCATTGCCCCGCCTAGCCCCTGGGTAGCTACGCCACTGGATCATGTATTGGCTTTATATTGATATTTACTTTATGTAATTGATTGCACACGGGTTCAAGTTTGACAGAATATGCAGCAATTATAGTAAGACACTTTTACAATGCATATTGAGTAGTTACAGTTGTGAAGAGCTGATACGTTTTCTTTTAGAGTTCGGTGCGTCCTGTGAAAGTTCTTCTAAAACTTGTACATTAGTCAGAATTTTTTCTGATATTTTGTACTTTGCTGTCCACAAAATAGAGGTATATTTGGAATTTTATACCGCCGCAAAGTACTCTCTCAAAAAAAATTATAATGTCCTTTTTAGTCCCAGCAGTATTACTGATTTCACTGACAGTATTCAGGTCATTAATAACAAATTTTAAATGTTAGTTAATAGTATAATGCGTAGATATAGATGCACCTCCCTGAAAGTAATCCTGGCTGCACCCACAAATACAAACATTTCAACACTTCGATATACCGACAATCTGACATCATTGTAGTGACTAGCAACGCCCAAACTTCGTCTGAATCAAGGTTTTATAGTCGCTTGTTATTGGCTTATTGGTATTTAGACGCACTGCAGGTATCAGTCTGTATAATAATTTCGGTTGACTTGGAAGAACCTTGGAATCGCTGACTGTAAATCGCATGAATGAAAATAACCCCTGGGAATAAGGTGATCGCCACAATGCTGGTTCTATGAAAAATCATTTAAAAATTGTATAAACGAAATTATTGTTAAGTGAAATGTTTGAAAAAAAATCCCGCTGGGTTTCTTGCTGGTTCTTCCCAGGACAGAGGTATTTTCCGAACCAGTGGTAAATAAAAAAATCGGTTGTCTGTAAAGTCGATTTACTGACGATAGTTGAACGTGACAACGCCGATTGTGCCTCTTTGTCGCTCGTTCCGCGCTCTCGCTTGCACTTTAAGCCTTAAATGGAGCGCCTCAGAGCGAAGTATCGCCGCATGAGGTATGTTTTTTCGTGCCTGCAGCCAGCTTCATCGAATTATAATACGTTGTCACGTCAAAATGACTTTCAATCATTGAGATACTACGTAGTAACATATTATCTCAATGCTTTCAATAAGAATTATGTAATAATCAATATTGAATAAAAAAAATATTCTATTCTATTCTATCCACTCTGCGACGCGCCGCGGGGCCGGTCGACGCCCGCGCTCAGCTGTTTGCGTTGCGAGTGCCTACTAAACCACCTATTGCACCAGGGCGCCACTTTAAAAGACTTTACATTAACTTTTCATATACTTCTTCATTTTGCATAAAACAATTTGATGAACTATTTGATTCTTTCATTAATTTCTTTACGAATTAATAGACATTTTGGTAGTTTTTTACGAACACTGATTGCTAGCAACGCTGCCTTCATCCAAGAGGCAACGTCGCACTTGCGACGGCCCAAAGCCAAGCCAAAGATATATGACGTCGACACAGGTGTCATCGTCATCAAGGACGCCGCCTGCCCTTTTCGGTTTGTAGCCATCGATCACTATTTTTATTGGTAATCGATGTTTGCAGCACGTGCAAATTAAATGTTGAGTATTATTAACAATTTTTTATTTCTTAATGCAAGTTGTATTTAAAAATGGATGCAGGTTAAAATAATTACAAATATTAC